CGACTCGGCTCGGCTCGCCGCCTCCCCGGCGCGGCGGCGGCGCCCCGCGACCCCGGCTCCCGGGCGCGGCGCCCGCTTCCCTCCCGCTTCGCCGCGGGGCCGCGGGCCACACTCACCTGGGCCCCGCCCACCGTCCCATGCAGCCGCAGGAGGCACATGAGCCCGGGCAAGTGCGCGGCCGAGCGGACCGGGGGATGCGCCGGGGCCACGGCGCTCCCCGCGCGCGGCTGCAGCAACCCGGACACGCTCTCCAGCAGCAGCAGGCGCAGACGCGGGCCCGAGCCCGCCGCCGAGAGCCCCCCGGCCCCGCCGGGAACCCCGGCCGCGGAGCCCGCCGAGGGCCCGCTGAGAACGGCTGCCGCCATCTTCACCCGGGCTCCGTGGTGGCGTGGCGCGATGACGCAAACGCACCGCGACGGGCGCCGCGTGGGGAGGGGGCGTGAGGAGGGGGCCGCGGCCCTGCGCACTGGGCGGGCTCCCGGCGCCGGCTGCGAGAGAGCATGCGCGGGCGGCGCGCGCAGGGGGCGGGGCGGGGGGCGGGGCGGGCGGCGCGCGCGGGGGGCGGGGCGGGCGGCGCGCGCGGGGGGCGGGGCGGGCAGACGGGCCGCGTGGTCCGGACAAAAGGCGCCCGCGTCCCCGGGGCGCCGCGGGGCTCCGTGCCCCAGGCTCGCGGCCCGTCCGCTCTCCGCACGGCGGCGTCCTGGGAAGCGGCCCCTCGTCTGGAGTCGGGGACGCGCGTACGCGGCCTGCAGGACCACGAGCCTCCTGTCTCCCCAGCCCCCTGCCCGGGGGAGCGTGCGTGCGCCCCCGACCTCAGCCTGTGCACCGACACCGGAACACGAAGTTTGTTTCAACGCAGCGGGGTCGCCCCCCGGCTAGTTTGACCAGGTGCGCGTCCTGGCGTGTTTAGGCTGCGGGGTGCGAAGACATGGCTGCACCGTGACCTGATTCTGTGGCCGAGGACAGTGTCCGCAGCTGCTCCGGCGTCTCACTGATCCACTGTACTGCGCACTCCCACGTGCCTCTGTGCACAAAGATCTAGTCATTTAAACTGGGGGAAAAAAAAGTCTAAGGGTCGTCTTTATTCCTCTCTGCCCGCCCCTCTGTCTAACCCTTCTTCCAGCCCAAAATACGCTAACCCAGTACCATTACTTTTTTACTCTGTGTGCATCTCCGGGGCCACTGTCCCCATTCTCTCCCATCTGGCCTCTTAACAGTGGCCTCCTCATCGCTCCCTCCGGGCCTTGAGTCCTCCCTTTCTCTGCAAAGCAGCCAACCAGAATGGTCTTCTCACACATCAAGTCAGGTCTCCTCACTCTGGCTTAATGTCCCGCGGTGGCCTCCAAATATGATGTGAATGAAATCCCATCTTCACCTCGGCCACTGGAATCCAGGTAATCTGACCCATACCTACCTCCCTCTCTGTCCTCAATGTATTGCACAAGAATCCCCAGTTTCCCTGTCTTTTCTGATCTTTGAGCCAAACTAGCCTTCTTTCTACCCCCCCAGCAAGCCCATCCCCACCTCAGGACCTTTGCACACGTTGCTGCTTCTGCCTAGAGAAACTTTCCTTTCGTTCCTTGTGACTGATACCATCTTGCCATCCTCAAAGAGGGCTTCTTTTTAAGTAGCCCCTACTCCAACTCTCGTCATCCTTCACCATGTCACCCTTATTTTTTTCTTAACAACTCCTAACAGTATCCAAAATGTATTTATTTTCTTCTGGATAATCTCTTCTAGCTAAAATACAAATCACAGGAGAGGGGTCTTCCCTCCCCCTCCTCGCCTAGAGCAGTGCCTGGCACATAAAAGGTGCCTGATGTCTGTTGCATGAATAAATAAGAGTTGGCTAAAAGAGAAAACCTACGTTTAATTTTGGCAGGAACTGGCAAAATGCCCACGAGAATGGTTGCATTGACTTAACACCCTACCCTACTTGACCCATGTAAAGTAGTGCTTTGTACACAATCCTAATACCAGGTTTATTAGTTTGTAGCAACTCTTCCTGGATGCCGGGGGCCTTATTCTTGATTGTTATATAGTTGCAAGGTTGCAAGAGACTTCTTCTAATTCGTCGTTTTAATTTTAATCTCTTCCTCTTTTTGAAGTAACTCTGGGCTAGACCCCTGGATTCAAACACCAGCTTTGCCTCTTGCTAGTGTGTGAACCTACAGGTTACTTAACTGTGCCTCCATTTCTTCATTTTTTTTTTTTAACGTTTATTTATTTTTGAGAGCAAGCCAGTGCGGGAGGGGCAGAGAGACTCCCAAGCCCAACCCTGGGCTTGAATTCACAAACGGTGAGATGATGACCTGTCAAAACCAGGCTTCAGATGCTTAACCAACTGGGCCACCCAGGCCCATACACGTGCGCGCGCGTGCGCAAGCACGCACACACACACACAGATAATTATAAAACCTTAATGTATCGGGCTGCATTAAATGAACTGATATTTGTAAACTGCTTGGAACAATGTCTGGCATGTGGTAAATACTATAAAGTGCTAGTTGTTTCTATTTATAGCCCTGGGGTTTGATGTCTTCTGAGGCTTTTTCCCAACCTCCAAGATTATAAAAATATTTTCCTATACTTTTTCCTAATACTTTTATAGTTTTATTTCATGCATTTAGGTCTTTAGCCCATCTGGAATGTATTTTGTTTCAGGTGTGAGATGGAGACATAACTTCTTTCTCCCAAGTGAATAGCCAGTTGTCTCACCCCAATTGAGTGAATATGCCATTCTTGTTCCGTTGACTTGAAATGCTGCCATGTGAGTTTGTATCTGGACAATATTCTGTTTCACTGCTCTGTTTGGTATCACCACACCGATAACACGATTTTAATTATTGTGACATAATAAATTACCTTAGCAGGTAAGGCAGATGACTGCTTTATTCTTATTTTTCAGAGTTATCCTGGCTACACTTGCAAATTCATTCTTCTGATTGTGTAGAGTCAAGTTCCTCCCCCCAAAAAGTCCCATTGTTATTTATTAATTAATTTATTTATTTTTAAAGACTAGTCAGGTGTAGGTGTGAGAAGGAGGGGGAGTGGAATGAGGAGTTTGATCTGTTACTGACTGGGAACAATCACTTGAGATAAGTACCTACCTTTGGCCTGGCCTCCCATTGCTATTTTGATAAGGCGTTAAATCTACGGACAACTTGCAAAGAAATGACATTTTTATAATGATGGTTTTTCCCATCATTATAAAGTATAATGGTGTATCTCATTCTTTCTGGTGTCTTTAGGATCTTTCTGAAATTTTCTGTATATAAGTATCTTTTAACGCAGTAGCTTTCAGGCCACACAGGCCACTACGCTTCAGTTGCAAAATCACTTTACATGTGTAGCAGTATAGCTCTGGTTACCTTCTGGTCATGACCCTTTGACAAAAGTGGCGAGTCTAAAAGAAATGTCTGATCTACAGCTTGCAAGGGGGGAAGAGCGAGCTCAGCCGGTGGCAACAGAACTGAGAACCTGTGCTTGAACCTTAAAGGTGACCGTCTGTTGTGCAGATTACTTTTTGTTGCATGGGAAATGGAGGGTGGGAAGGTAGTTCACCTGGGTGGGGAAGACGGGGAAGGATGGGAAAAGAGATGGGAGGCGGAGAAATACATGAACTCCTTAAGTCCAGAAATGCCAGGCCATCTGCCACCCTCCCCACCCCCAGGCCCTTTCGCCCTGCAAGTGGCTCTTCAGCCCAGCCCCCCCTCCCCTCCTGCATTCCATCCTTCACCATCTCTGGACTAGTTTTAGTCTAGACACCCACCCTCCACATTGCCCAGAACTGTCCCCCTAAACGGGAAGTCTCATCATGCCAGCCTTTTGCTTGAAAAACCACTACCGGATCCATGTGCCAACCCCCCCCCCCCCACCCCCAGGGAGGACCTCAGTCTCGTTCCTTCTACCTGCTCTGCAGAATCCTTCACAATCTGTTCCAGTCGCCCTCCCCAGCCCTATCCCTCCTGCCAGCGAACCCCACAAACACTTCAGAACAGAACGTGCCTCGCCCGCCTCTGGGGAGCACCCTTTCTGCCCCCCCTTCAGAAGCACTGTCCTCAAACGTCTCCTCCTCCGGACCGCGTCCAGTCCCCTCCGTCCCTGCCCCCGTCAAGCCCTGGCGGTCGCTGTGTCCCCTGAGTCATACCTCTCCAGTCTCGTATCCTTGGGATCATGATACCTGTTGACGCGTCTCCTGAACTGTCCTAGGGAAGCAGGGGCCTGCGCCTCCGTGTGCGTGTCCCCGCCGCCCAGCGCAGTGACCAGCACATTACAGGCACGGACGGAGGCGGGGATGCTCGCTGTGAAGACCGCGGATGGAAGACGACACGGGGAGTCCGAGAAATTAGGCAAAGGAACCCTGCGAAGCTCAAAGACGGACGCCAGAGGGCGCCGCCGCACCACGACCGGGAAGCGGGGGGCCGGGCCGGGGCTGCGAGCGCCCGGGCGAGCGGCGCGCGCGGGGGCCGGCATCACGCAACTGGCACCGCTCACCCACGTGTGCGTCCCTGGTCCTCCTCCCCAGACGGTGCCGGCGCCGGGGCCTCCGCCCCCGCCGCCTCCCTCGCCTCCGCCGCCGCCGAGAAAGCAAACAAAGGGGAGGGGACCCCCGCCGCGGCCCGGACGCGGGGAGCCAATCAGAGGGCTCTGAACTCCCGGCGGGCGGGCGCCGTGCGTCCAGGGGGCCCAATCGGTTCCTCAGCGGGTGCGGAGGGGCGGGGAGACGGGCGGGCCGAGCGGGGAGCGGGGACCGCGCGCGCGGGAGGGGCCTCCCCCCGCAACCCCGCGAGCGGCGGGGCGGGGCCGCGGCGGGGCGGGCGCGGGGGCGGAGCCAATCAGCGCGCGAGGCTGCGCGGAGGGGGCGGGCGGCGCGCGGCGCGCGCGAGCCGGGCTGACGCATCTGGCCGCGGCTCCCCGGGCCCGGAGGGGGGCCGGAGGCGCGGGAGGGAGGGGAAGGGGCGGAGGGCGCGTGCGCAGTGGCGCGGGGAGGAGCGGGGACCTGGCAGCGGGGCTGCGAGGCTGCGAGCGAGCCGCGGACCGGGCGGGCGGCGGGCGCGCGCACCATGGGGGAGAAACCGGGCACCAGGTAAGGGAGGTGGGGCCACGCGGCGGGACGTGGGCGGCGGCTCGGAGCGGGCGCCGGGACGGACCCCAGACAAGGGCACCGGGGAGAGGACCCAGGGGCCGGACGCCTGGGTCCCGAGGGGGCAGCCATCCGGGGCCGCACGCCCAGGTCCTCGAGGATAATGAGGGGGACGCACGCCGGGGCCCTTTGCGGAAAGCGAGGGCTGAAGGGGACCAGGAAAGCGGCGTCTGGGTTCTCGCAGGGATGTGGGGGCCGAACGGCTGGGCTCTCGGGTGCGGGCTGCGATGCAGGGGCGGAGGGAGGAGGAGCAGGTGGCCGGCCCCGAGGGGTCGGGTATGGGAAGGCTGGGTGCCGGGAGGGGATGCCCCTCCCCAGACTCGTGCCGAGCCGCTGCAAAGCCTCCTGTCCAATACCCCACGGGCAGTCGGGCCGTCCCAAGGGCCAGGTGGCCCTGCTTCCAAACTTCTGCCTTCGCCCGGGTTGCTAGGAGCGACGGCTTCGTCTTGGGGGAGCCGAGGGCATGACGACCCTCCCCACTTCTGGGCCTCACCCCTCTTCCCGGAGGTGAGGGCAGGCAGTATCTGCCCCGGGCACGCCATCCACTCCCTCCCCGGATGTTTTCTGTGCAATCGAGGCTCCTTCCTTCCACTGATGCCCCGAGTTCTCTTTTTTGGTCTCTAGCAAAATCCACTTCCTGTTGTGGCCCAGCACCCCCAAGGGGGCAGTGGGTGAACGCCAGAGTCCCTGGGGACCGGGAGCAAAAGAGGAGATTGGGGCTCAATGCCTCTGTCCAGAGGGATCAGGAACGGGGCCCCAGAGCACGGCTGGCACTCGTTCTGCCGAAGGTGGTCATTAAGAGCCCCACGGCTCCCAGCCACGGAGTGGCAGCAATTAGAGAGGTGACCAGAGGGAGGGCTGGTGTCCCGGATTAGGGCTTAAGCACCCTCCGGAGAAAGGGGAAGTCGCTGACTTGAGGAAGGCCCCCAATTTCCGTTATGTGGTTCAGGGAGGGGGATGGATGGACCAGAGGGGGGGACTGCTGACTTGGCACAATTCCCGCCACCCCCATCCAGTTCTGGGCCACAGGAAACCGAGACAGCATCTGGCTCCGCTGGCCCCACCGGTCACCCCCGTGCTCTGCCTCCTGGGCCAGCGCGGTGTGCACGTGCTGCCCCTCCCCGGCCCGGGCTCCGGAGGGCAGGTGCCCAGCAGCCGCTCCGGGGCCATTAGCTCAAAACGGCGGCCCGGTGGCTTTCCTCCTAGCAGGAAGAAACACGGGGACAAAGAGGAAAACTGGAAGCAAAAGGGATGGAGAGTGGGTGATGCCCCCGCAGGCGCCCCCAGCGTGGGCCAGGAGGCGGTGCTTTATTCGAGCTGCCACTGTATCCGTGCTTACCCTCCTTCATTGGATGGGGCTACCCAGGGACCCCCATACTCTTTGCCTTCTGGCCTTTGGATAACTTGACCTTCCGGAAAGAAGCGGCAAATGAAGTTGTAAGAGTAAAGCTGGGGGGGGGGGGAGAGAGAAGGCAGGTTTGGAAGAAGGACAGGCCGGTTGGCAGCATATCCGAGGAACCTTCCAGGGATCCCTGCTGAGGCAGAGCAGCCTGGGATGAGCAATGTCAGGCCTGCAAGTAGCCCGAGCGCAGGGTCTCCAGACACCTACTACGCTCTCAGCAGCGGGTAGAGTCCGGGCTTAGAGCCTTCTAGCTCTGGGAAGCGCGAATCCCCCTCGACTCAAGGAACTTAAGCGCTGTTGCAGGGACACGAGAGTATATAACGGTTTAGTGGATTACGAGCTCACAGCCAGACTGCCTCATCTGAATTCCACCATTTACACGCTCTGGGGCCTTAGGCAAAAATCCCGTGTCCTCACTTTCCTCACCTGTGAGGTAGGAATGGTAGGACCTCCGTTGTTGGGTTACTGAGACTGTCAGATGAGATAACACACACAGCGCACCTGAAACAGAACTGGGTGCGGGGCATTCACCCACTAAAGGTCAGAGGCGTCACCATCTCCACGGTTCGGCGGGCATCCATCGTGCCGGGGATGCCCCACTGAATGGGGTCTGGGACGTCCACGCTCGACCTCGTGATTCGCAGCTTACTGCCCAGGCATGCTGTCACACCACAAGTAAAACATCAGCAAGTGTGACGGGAGCCCCCCAAAAAAGGGAGGTATAATGGGGTCCCGGGCTAGATCTGCTTTCTCAGCGAGGTGATATCTGAGCTCAGCCTTCAAAGACAAGTAAGCTCTGAGGCTGCTGAGGTTAATGGAGTAGGGCTGTTCCTAAAATGTCAGGAGCCAGAGCCAGGGCCACTGCCCCTCTGGGTGCCCCGGCTGTCTTTGGAGACCAGAGGTGACAGAAGGAGGGTTACGTCTTAGACAGATTCCCCTACAACCTGCCCATTCAGGTCCCCCCGGGAGATGTCCTCTGGCAAGAGCTGGGTGCTTCCTGGGCCACCAGAGGAGGGAACCTAGTGAGGGTGCATGGGGGGGGGGGGAGCGGGGAGGGAGCTGCTGTGTCGGGAACGTTAAGGACCTATAGTTGCCTTTCTTCTGGGAAGACATGGGGGGGGGGTAGGGCTGGCAAAGCCCCGAGGCCTCGGGGCAGAACCCTGGGGGAGGACGGACCTTGCTGCTCCTCAGGCTGGCCCGGGGTGGGGGTCCCTGCCGAGTCTGATGCAGGCATTGGGGTTTCCCTTTCTGTTTTGTTAGGGTCTTCAAGAAGTCGAGCCCTAACTGTAAGGTGAGTCGGTTTCCCATTCGCTTCCCCTCCCGGCCCCTTCCTGGGCCCGAGCAAGGCCCAGCAGCACCTAGATGATCCTCACCCTCTAGCTCCCCACTTCCTGTGACAGCTAAGAGCCAACTTCCTTCCCTCCTGAAGCCCCTTGCCGCAAAGTCCGCTAGCTCACCCTTGCACTCAGCCACAGGGCTGGGTGGGGACCGGCCTGGGTCCCCGAGGCCAGACAAAGGGGGAGGAGCCAGAGCACTAGGCTGTGACCCTCTTAGGAGCCAGCTCAGGGTGCCTGGGGTGAGACCAGTTAGAAACCCCCAGGCTACGGTCTGGGTGTCCTAACTGGCTGCCCCTACGAGTCCTCCCCAAGACACCCCCTCCCACAGCCACCACCCCACCCATCCCAACACACACACACATGCTTGACTTGTGGGCAAAGGCGTGACAAAAGCTTCAAAGTTGAGTAATCTGGGAAACCCCACTATTCTCCCCTGCTCTTTCCTTCCTATGGAAGGAAACTTGGGGGACCCCCCCCGGCCTGGGGATCCCACAGGCAGGACAGCCCCCCTCAGGGCTCTGCGGCCCTGCACCCGCCCGCCCAGGCTTCCCTGCGCCCCTTCTGTCCCCTCAGCTCACCGTGTACCTGGGCAAGCGGGACTTCGTAGACCACCTGGACAAAGTGGACCCTGTCGGTAAGTGTGCCCAAGCCCCCCAGGCGGGGCGGAGTCCCTGGGCCCAGGGACAGAGGAGAGGCGCTGACAGCAAGTGAGCTCATGCGGCGTCCCTTTCCCAGATGGCGTGGTGCTGGTGGACCCTGACTACTTGAAGGACCGCAAAGGTACCGGCCCGAGCGCAGGGGCCCGAGGGGAGGCCAGGGCGGCACGGGGACAGGACCCGGAGAGACCAGAGGGCTGAGAAGGCAGGGGGAGGAGGAGGATTTGGGCAGGTTTCCTGCTGCAGAGGAAGGAGCAGCCACCACCAGGTGCTGGGGGGCTGGAGAAGGGGGGCCCCTGAGCGCCCGCCTTGCCCTCCCTCACCAGTGTTCGTGACCCTCACCTGCGCCTTCCGCTATGGCCGCGAGGACCTGGACGTGCTGGGCCTGTCCTTCCGCAAAGACCTGTTCATCGCCACCTACCAGGCCTTCCCCCCCATGCCCAACCCGCCCCGGCCCCCCACCCGCCTGCAGGAGCGGCTGCTGAGGAAGCTGGGCCAGCATGCCCACCCCTTTTTTTTCACAGTGAGGACGCCTCTCACCCTTTGCAGGGCAAAGGGTCTGGGACCGAGTTTGGAGCGGGGCAGGGGGTGGCAAGGCACCCGTTCCGGGCAGATCTGGAAGAAGCAGTGGCGGGGGGGACGGGTGACCAGACCCACCTCCCGTCGGGGCCACCCTACCTGCCTTCTGTCTCCTCCCTGGGGCCCCTTCCTCCTTCCTTTCTCACGCCCCCCCCCCCCCCCCCGCCGGCCCCCTCCAGCCTCTGAGTTGAGATGGGGAGGAAGATCTGGGAGCTGAAGCTCCCTCTCCTCTGCACAGATCCCCCAGAACCTGCCCTGCTCTGTCACGCTGCAGCCGGGCCCGGAGGACACGGGGAAGGTACAGCGGGAAGGGCTCTGGGGGCTCCCGGAACAGAACGGGGTCCAGTAGGAGCCTGGGGCACACGGGGGGGGGGGTGCCTATCCAAGAGAAGAGGGGCGGAACCGTCCCTGCTGAAAGGCCGCATGTGCAGGGGGGTCACCGGCGAGTGTGGAAGCTCACTGCTCACGGGTGACAGGAGCCACAGCCCCGGGGGGAGTAGGGAGCCCCCTTTCCAGGGCCAGGGCCTCACTTGGCCAGACACTGGGCCTTGAGGAGGCGGGATGAAGCCCCAGGCCCCACGGGCTCCTCAGACCAAGATGGAGCAAGAGGCCCTGATAAAGACCAGACAGGGAAGGAAGGGCGTGGCGGCGGAGGGGACCTTGTGTAAGATGTGACCTTTTCTCCTCCTGAGGCCTGTGGAGTCGACTTTGAGATTCGAGCCTTCTGTGCCAAATCGCTAGAAGAGAAAAGCCACAAAAGGTGAGGGAAGCAAGGCCTCTCCTGTTTGACCGTGCCTTCCCCCCTCCCCTCCCTCGGAGGGAGCCCCAGGCCCGTGGGAGGTGGCTGTGGGGGGAGGTGGCTGTGGCGGCAGCAGGGAGGGGGTCTGGGTGTCTGAGGACCGGCCCCTCCCATCCCTCCTCCCCACCCCCAGGAACTCTGTGCGGCTGGTGATCCGAAAAGTGCAATTTGCCCCAGAGAAACCGGGCCCCCAGCCTTCAGCAGAAACCACACGCCACTTCCTCATGTCTGACCGGTCCCTGCACCTTGAGGCTTCCCTGGACAAGGAGGTGGGGGGCAGGAGGGTGACGCCAGTGCCAAGGTGCAGAGGGGTCCCGGGAGGGCCTGGCGGGGGACCTGGCGCCACTTGTCAGCACGGCATTTTTAAAGCAGGCTGCGTCCACTGGGCTTGGGCCTGGGTTTAGAGGAAGAGGGAGCCACGTGTCTCCGTGGGGGGAGGGGGCATGCTAACGACGGGGACGCCCGAAAACTGACCGCGTTCACTTGACCCCCCCTCCCCCCAAAAGCTGTACTACCACGGGGAGCCCCTGAACGTCAACGTCCACGTCACCAACAACTCCACCAAGACCATTAAGAAGATCAAAGTCTCTGGTAGGAGGTGGGGGGGGGGGGTCTCCGGGGAGTGATTCCAGCCCCAGGGCACGCCCCCCCGAGGCCCTGCCAGGGGGTGGCGGGGGACTGGCTGGTGGTCCGAGCGCAGTGGGGGGGTGCGGCAGCGTGCGCCCCTCGCTCAACTATGACCCCACACCCCACAGTGAGACAGTACGCCGACATCTGCCTCTTCAGCACAGCCCAGTACAAGTGCCCCGTGGCTCAGATCGAACAAGAGTGAGTATCAGCACGGCCTTGGGCCCGCCCAGGGCAGAACTTAGGCCCTGGAGGGTGTGAGGTGGGGACAGAATTGTCCCCAACTGTCTCCACCTACAAGGGCCTTCCCTCCCCAAGCGGGTGGCTCTGAGCAGGTCGAACTGTCCCCAGAGGGAGAAGGGCTGCCTGAGGGTGGGGGAGAAGCCACGGGGGCGGGAGCGGCCTCGTCACCTGGCTGGGCCCCTCCAGAGCCCTGTGCTCTCGTCTGGGTCCCCAGTGACCAGGTGTCGCCCAGCTCCACGTTCTGCAAGGTGTACACCATCACCCCACTGCTCAGCGACAACCGGGAGAAGCGCGGCCTCGCCCTGGACGGGAAGCTCAAGCACGAGGACACCAACCTGGCTTCCAGCACCATGTGAGGGGGGCTGGAGGGGGCGGGCGGGGCGGGGCAGAGTCCCACAGTCCTCGGTACCAGGGCTGCACCCGGGCCCGGAGATTCTAGGCGCCGCAGACGAACGGGGAGACCGGCGCTGAGGAAAGCAAGGCAGAGAAGAGAGATATAAGGCAGGGGTGAGGGCACGGGGGTGTTCACTTTCAACAGGGTGGCGGGAAGGCATAACCCAGATGTGAATTTTGAGTAAGGACCCAGAGGAAGTAGGTGACGGGCATAGAGCAGGCACGGGTGTTCCGGGAGGGGGGGCGGCAGGTGCACCATCCGAGGTGGCCCCGGCCCGGTCTGTTGAGGAAGCAAGAAGAGGGGCTGTGGTGACCCTGGGCGGGAGCCCCTCAGAACCACCGCTTCACAGGTCAGGGCCGGGCCCCCCTCCGGGCACACAGGCCGGCACGGTGACAACGAACCACAGGACAGTAGGGGTGGGGCCGCCAAAACGGGACCTAGACAGCGCAGACTTCAGCTCTTCCCGCCGCAGACGGGACAACACGAGAGGCTTCGGGGCAGAGCGGTGCTGGGGATGAGGCGCCGGCGCCCGGACGCTGATGGGAGCCTGGGGGGGCGGGGAGACCTGGGGCTCGGGGCCGGGGCCTGGGGTCTAGCTCCTGCCCCTGATTGCAGCGTGAAGGAGGGCGCCAACAAGGAGGTGCTGGGGATCCTGGTGTCCTACAGGGTCAAGGTGAAGCTGGTGGTGGCTCGTGGCGGGTGAGTGCAGCCGGGCAGCACGGGGACAGCACTTGTTTTCTCGGGGCGCGAGGTTTTGGCCCCTCATGCTTCGTCCCCCGCCATGCTGCGCCCCTCCCCCCAGGCTGCGTTCCCCCTCCCCCATGTTGTTCCCTCTCCCCCCCCAAGCTGTGTTCCCCCCTGCATCCCCCTCCCCCCTAAGCTACGTCCCCCCTCCATTGTGTCCCCCACCCCCGTCATGCTGCGTCCCCCCCGTGCCGCGTCCCCCCCATGCTATGTCCCCCTCCCCCCCAGGGATGTGTCCGTGGAGCTGCCTTTCGTCCTCATGCACCCCAAGCCCCACGACCACGTCGCGCTCCCCAGGCCCCAGACAGGTGAGCATGCCACCCGCCCCGGGCCCCCGGAGGGACGGCCTGAAGCCAGGCCGGGGAAGAAAGGCTGGCCCTTCAGCACCCACCCACCCGCCCCCTCTCCTCGCCTCAGCTGCTCCGGAGACAGACGCCCCCGTGGACACCAACCTCATTGAATTTGATACCAAGTAAGAGACACCCCCCCCCGCCCCGCCTCCCTGCGTCCGGGCCCTTCGCACGGGGTCCCGGGAGCCCCCAAACCTGCCCTCGCCCCTCTCCCGCCCCCGGCGCACACGTCCAGTCGCGTTGCTGCCCCGGCGCCCCAGCCTCTGGGAGGGCAGGGGGGGCACTGGGAAGAGGGTCTCGAGCCCTCCCCTCACCCCTGCTTCCTACCGTCAAGCTACGCCACCGACGACGACATCGTCTTCGAGGACTTTGCGCGGCTGCGGCTCAAGGGGATGAAGGACGAGGATTACGAAGACCAGTTCTGCTAGAGGCCGTGGGGGCGGGGCCTGCAGGGGGCGGGGCCTGCAGGGGGCGGGGGCAGTCCGCGGCCCCCCCTGCGCTTAGCCGGCCCCTCCGCCCCTCCCGCCTCGCCCCTGGCTCCCGGAGGACTCGCGCTGGACCGTCTCTTGAACGTGGGCATTACTTGTTTGGCCCCAGCTGGGCCTCCCCAGCCCCTCCAGCAGGTGGCGCGCCGTGTTCGAACCTGCATTTTCTGGAGGGGTTCCTGGAACGGGGAGTGACAGTGGGGAAGATGGGAAAAAGCTCCCACATCCGACCCCCCACACTCTGCCTCCCTCTCCTTCAAGAGGAGACCCTGGGGGTGGGGTGGGGAGCGAGGCCACTTCGTTGTTTCTGGGCATAAAGAAAATAAACGTTTTAATAGGCACAAGTGTATGTGCTTTCTGGGCCTCCGCCAAAGGCCCCCAAGTGCTCATCCGTGACTTGTGCTTGTGACGGAGCACACAGCCAGCCTGTCCCTTGTCCCCACACAGCGCCGGCCCCAAGGCTTGTCAACCACTGGGCTGTAGCTGTGTTCCAAGGTCAACACAGACACTGACTTGGTCAGTCCAAACGCGGTACCGTTCGGTAAAGCCACAACATACACGTACTCAATTGCAGGGGAAATAGAAACTCACTTCCTGAGATGCCTCAGTGGCTCAGTTGGTTGAACGTGACTCTTGATTTCAGCCCAGGCCATGATCCCAAGGTCATGGGATCAAGCCCTGTGTCGGGCTCGGAGCCTGCTTAAGATTCTCTCTCCCTCTGCCCCTCTTCCCTGCTCACTTGCTCTAAAGTAAAATAAAACTTGGGGCGCCTGGATGGCTCAGTCGGTTAAGCATCTGACTTTCTGTCACGTCATGATCTCACACTTCATGAATTTGAGCCCCACATGGGGCTGTGTGCTGACAGCTCAGAGCCTGGAGCCTGCTTGGGATTCTGTGTCTCCCTCTCTCTCTGCCCTTCCTCTGCTCCCTCTCTGTCTCTCTCTCTCAAAAATAAACATAAAAAAAAAATTAATACAATAAAAATTTAAAAAAAAACACCTCACTTCCCTATAGACCAGCTGCCCTTGGGAGCTGGGCAGGCAGATGCTTCCCTCTTGGCGCTGACACATGTGACCCTGCAGTGACCGGCTGTGACAGTGCGTCCGTCTCCACCGCTGTGTGGCTGCTCAAGCACTCCATTCCGGGCTCAGTGGGACCCCTGCCACTCCGGCCTCACCGGGCATCCCGTGGGGCCTGCCTGGCACTGTCATCCTAACCCAGAGGCCACAGCTTGGGCGGCAGGAGGGGTTCAGGCCGCTGTGGGCAGGTCCCAGAGGCAACCCCAGCAGTGGCCCATCAGGCGCTCCCTGAGGCTTGCCCGCTGTCCCAGGACAGGCGGTGGAGACTGAGCGCCACCCCCCCTGGTGGTGCCTCACCACTGCCACCCACTCTGTCACCCAACCATCCTCTCCTTTTTCTCTTAAGGCCCATTCATCCATTCCATGAACGAGATCTTGACGTTAAGTCCCTACTGGGTCCCAAGCCCACAAGAGAGGCGTAGCAGTGACAGCGTAGCATGAAATCGTTCCCTAGTTGTTTAACGACGGCATCTGAGCTCCGAAGGGGCAGCCCAGCAGCCGTGAGCATGGCAGGGAGCTCGGACCTAGGCTGGGGTAGGGGAAGGCTTCCCGGAGGCAGTGGTCTTTGAGCAGAGAACCGGCGGACGAGGAGGGGCCGGAGCATCCTGGGCACTGGTGGCACAGAGTGTGAACGCAGAAAAAGGGCACGTTCCAGGCACTGAAAGAGGGACTGAGGGACAGACACAGCGAAGGGCAGAGTAGTTCCAGATGGGGCTGGCGGGGCCGCTCAGACAGGCCTCTAGCCTCCGGCTACGACGTCTAATCAGACCACCGTTTACCCACAGGTCTGAGTGCTGCCAAGCGCCAGTGACCCGGCGCGCCCTCCCCCTGCAGCCCACCCCGCACACCCTGGCCGTTGTCACAGGGAAGGAATGCCAGCATCCCTCTGGTGGATCACTCAACTCTCTCCGGGGGATCAGCATCCACGGGCACACACAGTGAGGCCCCGGAGCCCCAGGCTCTCCCTTCCCGGATTCTGATCCGCCAGGTCCCAGGAATAACCCATCGCTCTGGATTGGGGGGCCAGGACACACAACAGTGTCTTTTTTTTTTTTTTAGCTTTTTATGTTTTTAATGCTTTTCAGAAGGAAAAAACTGCACAGGGTTTAAACAAACAAACAAAAACCTGAACTGTGTGCAACGACAAACAGCGAAGAGAGGCTCCTTTCTGCCCATGCCCCCCAGCCAGCCCGTTCCTCATTCCCAGGGGTGACTACTACCAGCCGCCCCCGGGTTATTCTGCCAGAGACACTGTTCAGATGCAGTCACACCTGTATGAGCAGAATACATATTGTGTGTTATTCTGAACGGCCAGCGGCACACGAGGAGCCGTCTTCTACACCCGGCTCTTCCCCTCGTGCTGCGGCCGCGAGGGCATTCCTTTCCGCGCCAATATACACACAGACCCACCTTATTCTGTTTTTTTAATGTTTATTCATTTTTGAGAGAGAGACAGAGTACAGGCAGGGGAGGAGGAGAGAGAGAGGGAAAGAGAATCCCAAGCAGGCTCCTCGCTGTCAGCGCAGAACCTGATGAGGGGCTTGAACCCGCGAACCGTGAGATCATGACCTGAGTTGAAGTTAAGAGTCAGACAGACGCTTAACTGACAGAGCCACCCAGGCAAACTGTAGGACAAATTCATTTTTTTTTATTTTTTAAAATGCTTATTTATTTTTGAGAGCGAGAGACAGAGAACAAATCAAGGAGGGGCAGAGAGAGAGGGGGAGACAGAATCTGAAGCAGCTCCAGACTCTGAGCCGTCAGCACAGAGCCAGATGCGGGGCTCGAACTCATAAACCCCAAGATCAGGACCTAAGCCAAAGTTGGACGTTTAACTGACTGAGCCCCCCAGGCGCCCCAGGACAACTTCTTAAAAGCCGACTTGCTGGCTCAAAGAATGTGAGCATCTTTTGTCTCCTGCCAATCAAGCAGGTGAGAGATACGGTATCATCTGAGTTTTAATTTGCATTTGTTTGATTATGAGTGAGGAAAAGCCCGATTTATTGAGGCACTTTCTTTTTAATGTACCCTAATGGCTCTTTATATACTAAAAAATAGAGCCCTTTATCATATATTTTTCAATATTTTTCCCGGTTTGTCATTGTCTTTTGAATTTGTTTCTAGGTCTCCTTGGGGAGGGGGGTTGGTTTTTTACGGAGGTAAAATTCATATGAAGTAAAAATAACCATTTTAAAGTGTACAGTTCGGTGGCACTTAGTACACTCACAATGTTGGGCAGCCATCGCCTCTAGTTTCAAAATATTTTGCTTCAAGGGGCGCCTGGGTGGCTCAGTCGGTTAAGCGTCCAACTTCGGCTCAGGTCATGATCTCACAGTTTGTGGGCTCGAGCCCCGCGTCAGGCTCTGTGCTGACAGCTCAGAGCCTGGAGCCTGCTTTGGATTCTGTGTCTCCCTCTCTCTCTGACCCTCCCCTGCTCACGCTGTCTCTCTCAGAAATATTTTTTTTAATTTAAAAATTAAAAAAAGTATTTGCTTCTGATGTTTTATTTTTATTTGGAGACAGAGGGAGAGAGAGAGCACGCAAGCAGGGGAGGGGCAGAGGGCGAGAGAATCTTAAGCAGGCTCCAAGCTCAGCGCAGAGCCCGACACAGGGCTCAACCCCAGGACCTTGGGAATCATGACCTGAGCCAATATCAAGAGCCAGATGCTCAACCAACAGAGCCACCCAGGTGACCCTGCTTCTGACATTTTTAATAATTCACTTTTTAATGGCTTCTTGGATGTTCTTTGTCGCGAAGCTCTTGGCCCTTCTGTACCCTTGCAATTTGGAGCTTGTCTTTCCAGACTGAACTTGGAGACCCCCATGCCAACCGGATCTCAGGAGCGCCCTCAACTTCTCCTTTCAAATACCTGCCCTCACCCCCCCCACCCCTGCCCAGCGCCCGGCTGTCCACCGGTCCCCCTGCGTGCCAGCTCCAACACAGGGCCACGGAACTCTGCCAGAGAAAAATCACACGGCCACACGCGTTCGTCCATTCACCAAATACCTCGTAACACATCCTATGTGCCAAGACTGTGCTGCTGATGCACCTTTGGGGCCACTGCTAACTTACAGTCTCTAACCTCGGCTGGCCCTCAGTTCCTGGTGACCCTTCGTCCCTCTCCACATTCCTGGTCACCTCCATCTCAGGCTCCCGTCCCACCCACTACATTCCAAACCTTCCACGCTCCTAGTGACTTCCGCTGTGCACAGAGATGAGGCTGCGAGGGATGATTGATTTCAATTTCCCGCCTGCTCCCTGCAAGCACGGACATCTGTCCCGATTCTCTGTGCAGCCAAGGTCAAGCTGCCTTCTCCTGTTCAAAGCTCACCCTCCCGCTGTGCTCCGATCTCTCCCCTCGCAACTCCTCTGAGACCCTGATTCATCAAACCACCGCCCCCACCTCAACCTCTGCCCCTCTCCTCTGGCTCTTCCCCCAAGGTCTGTAAACCCTCACAAGCTGCTTCTATGCAAGGAAGGAAGGAAGGAAACCGAAGACAAGACACTCTTCCACACGAAATAAATGCCTCTTCATTTCCTCTCTACCATTTCACTTTTATTGCGTTGTTATTTTCCAAGTTACATATGCACGTTGTTTAAGGAGTCGGATATAACGACAGGGTCGGTACCCCTTCCCTGTGCGGCTCCTTTCTCCTCCGAGCCTCCTTCTCCTCCTCCCTTGATGTTTCACCTCCTTCAGATGTTTCTTGTGGTCTTTACCTCCAGATCTCCAAACAACGTGCTTATGATTTTCTTTTCTTTCTTTCTTTTTTTTTTTTTTGTGCTTATGATTTTCAAGTATTACCTACTGGCGTCTGACCACACAAGGTGAAGACTGACCTCCTTTCCGCCCCCGCCCCCACCAGGGAATCCTTTCCATCCTGTCCGGGCGCCCCATACTCCGTGGAGGCTGGATCCATACTCAGTTCCTGCACTGTTACACTTACACATAACGTTATCCGCAGTTGTCACACGAGGTATCGATTACCTCTCTCTCCTTGCACCATGTTGTTTTCCCTGAATAACTATCATTTCAAGAATCTGCTTTTTCTCTGAATTTGTCACTGATTCCACCCTAGATTCTCCTCCCAAAGCCTATACATCCTCTCAGTACATTCAGAACAGAACAGATGCTCATCTCTCTCAGCTCCGCGAAGACATCCGTCCAGAAGCCTTCTCGATCTGCTCTGTGCGGAGCGGGGTGTTCTTCACGCCTGTCACCCTGGACCCCCCTCACTAGCGTTCTCGTTCACACCTTTTTGGTCTTGAAGGCCTTCCTCGGGTCCTGGGTCCCGCAGCTTCCTCTTCTGCGTCTACTTCTAAAAACCTCCTGAGTAAGGGAACTTGGTAGAAAACAGTGAGACCTTCGTATGTATCAAAATGTCTTCATTCCATCTGCATTTCGGCTGCTGTGAGAGCCCACATCTCCCCGAACATCTCTCCTCTCGGACCTCTGAGCCAGGAGCGCCTTCCTCCCAATTCCCCGTTCCCCTCAGTGCCAGCTACAACCCAGGGATGTCAGCAGCCCAGTGACAGGACACAGCAATGCCCCAGAGCAGGGCTCCGCAAGTTTTACTGTGCACACACAGCCCTGGGCATCTTCAAACACAGACACTGATTCCGAAGTTCTGGGGTTAGGGGGCGAGGGCTCAGTCAGTTGAATGTCCGACTTCAGCTCAGGTCATGATCTCACAGTTCGTAGGTTTGAGCCCCGCATCTGGCTCTGCGCTGACAGCTCGGAGCCTGGAGCCTGCTTTGGATTCTGTGTCTCCCTCTCTCTCTTCCCCTCCCTTGCTTGTGCTCTCTCTCTGCTTCTCAAAAATAAATAAACATTTTTAAAAAAATTTAAACGAATAAACTGGGACGCCTGAGTGGCTCAGTCGGTTGGGCAGCCGACTTCGGCTCAGGTCATGATCTCACTGTGCGTGGGTACGAGCCCTGCATCGGGCTCTGTGCTGACAGCTCAGAGCCTGGAGCCTGTTTCAGATTCTGTGTCTCCCTCTCTCTCGGACCCTCCCCTTCTCACGCTGTCTCTCTCAGAAATAAATAACAGGTTAAAATTTTTTTTAAAAAAAGAATAAACTTAACAACAAAAATAAATAAGTAAATAAATAAAGTGTTGCTATTAGTACTTCTCGCTCTCTGACCCCTTCATACCATCCCCCTAAAATTTTATTAGGATTTTTAAAGGCGTGGAGTTGAACCGCTGGATCCCCGAGTTGAACTGAAAGTCTCCATTCATTTGCTAACCCCGTGTGAACTAGCTTCATTCTCCATCTTCCATAGGCTGTCAGGACGGAGCTTTCCAAGAGAAAGGTAAGCCTGGTCATAACGCACTTCTTAAGGATCCTTTAAGGGCTCTCAAGGGCTTTGAGAACAAAGTCCGGATTACCCAGCCCGCAAGCCTTCTTCCCGGATCGGCTCCCGCTTCAGTCTGGCCGCTGCCGCCCTCCGCTCACTGGGGCCGAACCGAACGCCTTGCTGCAGGCGGGCTGGGCCAGGCGGGTCCTTCTCGGCACCGTGCACCTGCCGCGCCGATCCCCTTTTCCAGCCAACCCCCCACCCACCTGGGTAATTAACCCTTAAGACCCGGTTCTAGCAAGGCTGCATCCCGGAACCCTCGCTCTGTGCTCCCGAAGGTGCGCTGGGCGTGCCTCTCCCCAGACATCGACGACCCCCCCCGTCACGTGGGGCTCCGTGCCCTTCACCTCCGGACCCCCGGACCCCACCAGGCAATGGGGGAGCAGAGAGGGAAAGGGGGAAAGGCTGAGATGGCTAAGCCTGTGCTTCAGCGGGGCTGCTGCCCGGGAGGAAGCGCTGGGGCGAACCACGCAACACTCACCAAGTCAGGCTCCGCCGCGGCCCCGCCGGCCCGACAGAGGCCACGCCGTGCAGTCCGGAGGGTCACCCAGAGCTGCCGCCATCACCACCTGGCACCAGCAGATGCGCGATAAATTCTCATAGAAGAAATCGGAGATCCCAGGGCAGTGTCGCGAAGGCGGAAAGCTCTGAATGACCTCAGGCCGAGGAATGAAAAGGTTTCACCACCGCATCTTACCGCAGGTGGTCGCGAGGTGGCGGCGGCGACGCAGACCGGAGCGTGCGCACGGCACCCTGGGAGTTGTAGTTCGCCGGGGGGGGCGGAGGAAGGGGAGGCTGCGCCGAGCATCCTGGGAATTGTAGTCTCAGCTAGAGCGCGACCTGCGCAGGCGCAGGCCGAAAACCACTTCCGGGCTCGAGCGTCGAGATTGGCCGAGGGAGAAAACCCCGCGGAGGAATCCCGGAGTGACCATGGCGACCTACAGCCTGGCGAACGAGAGGCTGCGCGCCCTGGAAGACATCGAGCGGGAAATCGGCGCCATTCTCCAGAACGCAGGTTCGAGACGCGCCGGCCGCCGCCAGGCAGCGGGGATGGGAGGGGCCCCGGGTGCTCGCGCTCCGGGGCGGGTCCCGGGGCGGTCCCGGGGCGGGGCAGCACCCGGCCAGCCCCGCCCTCTCTCCGCCCCGCAGGTACCGTGATCCTGGAATTGTCCAAGGAGAAAAGCAACGAGCGGCTCTTGGACCGGCAGGCGGCGGCCTTCACGGCGTCGGTGCAGCACGTGGAAGCGGAGCTGTCGGCTCAGATCCGCTACCTCACCCAGGTGCGTGTGCTGGGGGGTCCTGCGCGCCCACCCGGCTCTCCGCCTCAGCCTTAGCCTCCGGGGATCATTGACCTTTGGAGCCAGACAGGACTGGGCCGTCCATGCTGGCACCACGACCCAGCCGGATGACCCTTGGCAGAAGGGGGGCAGAAGCCCTCCCTTCCAGGGCCGGCTTCTTCTTCTAAAAGGAAGTCTTAAAGGCGGGCGTGCCTGCCTCATTGGTCTGCGTCACACGAGCCACTGGGATGGGGAATTCCCAGGAAGGACTTGTAAACAATGCCTGAGCCACAGGACCTTGCACTCAGAAACTTGACCTGACCTGCGGGGCCTGAAGTGGCCACCTCCTGAGAAAAGGGACAGGTCGAGAGGGTCCTGAAGTCATTACAACAGCAACAGCCAGGGGCTAAGATTTTACAGCATGCCAGGGCTTGCATCATCTATTCCTTCAACAGCTTTAGGAAGTAGTTCTTGTTACCCACGTTTTACAGATGAGGTTGACAGAAGTTGAGTGATTTCCCCTAGGTCCCCCAGCCACCGCCCATGTGCCATAATGCATCCACACTCAAGGAAACAGTGAAACAAGAGACCCGATGCTGGGGTGGGGAGATGGGGAAGGGAAGGGGTGCCTCACCGATCGCTGTGAATGTCCCATAGGTGGCCACGGGGCAGCCCCACGAAGGCTCCAGCTACTCTTCAAGGAAGGACTGTCAGATGGCCCTGAAGCGAGTGGACTACGCTCGCCTCAAGCTCAGTGACGTGGCCAGAACCTGTGAGCAGATGCTAGAAAACTAGGCCAGGCAGGTGGAGCGAGAGCTCGGCGGAGCCCCGGCCCCTGCACCTGGGACAGAAGCTGGAGACCCGTGCAATGGGAAGTGTGGGCCGCCACACGCGTGCCCTGCTGGCCAGCGTCTGTGGGGACAAAGGGGCCGAATGTGGGGGGGGGTGGAGAGACCTGGCGGACCAAGGCTGCCCACAGCTCTGCCCCTGCGCTCCACGGAAGCGCTGACGAGCTCAGACAGACGGAGATTCAGACCCCAAACCCACTTCCTCCAACGCTGCAGCACCTGCCCTAGGCCACGGCAGCCTGGACCAACGAAGACATGTTCTTCATCGAAAGAAGCGAAAACAAGAACTAGGGGTTTTCGTAATAAAACACAGTCGCAATAAAAGCAAGGAGCCCAGACTCTCATTGGAACATATGTGGGCAATTCAGGGATTGGGGAAATGAAACCAAACTGCGTTGCACCCCCGGGGGGCAGGGGTGGGAGACCCCAGGCTGCACTGTGCCGGGTCAGGTCGGGAGAGGAAGCAGGAGGAATAGCCGGTGTGTGAAGAGAGAGCAGGGCAAGTGGGGAGACCCTCAGAGAAACTGAGCCCCAGAACTACACCAAGGGGGTAAGGGGGGTGAAGCCAACGTCTGTGGAAGGAAGAGTCAATAATTATAAAAATAATCTTTAGTAATTAAAAACATACATGAAGAATTTATCGAATTGATCTTATGAAAAGGTTGATTTTACATAATTGTGTAGGAAAAATCCAGGAAGGGCCCACAAGGGGGCAGTGCTTGGTCATCTGCCAATTAACCAGAAAATCGCTACAGTGTCCATCCTTTGCCAGAGATCATTCTAATGTATCAATGCGACTCAGAAGGGGCTGAATAAGTCACAATGTCTGCCCCCACAGGCTTCCATTCTTAGCTCAAAAGTCGGAGTCTGATGCCACACGTCTGTAATGGAGCTGCACATCTGGAAAAGATAAGGACATGGAGAGATGAGCTCTGAGACCAAGGGAAGTTTAGGGGAATAGCTTGACCCGGGGAATTAGACCCCAAATCATTAGCCATACCTAGTAATGGCAGGTGCTCGGTAAAGATCTGTAAATTAAATGAACGGCTCCGGCCTTGCGCTATCTTCCTGACCTTGCTCCAAACCCTGCCTGGTTTTGAAGGTCAAGAATGGGTCCCCTGTGAGGGCGCCTCCCTCCCTCCCTCTTCTGTAGTCTCTAGCTGACTCTTCTCTCCTTGGCTGCGATCCACAGTGTAGACAGCCTTCATAACTGTCTGCCCGGGGCCAGGTTTCCAGCCAACTAGGAGCTACCAGGGGCAAGATCCCCACCACGGAGGCCCTGGGTCCCGGGTCCCCTGGAGAGGGGCCCAGAGCCCTGGCTTACCTGGAGAATGCTGCTGGCACTTCCACTTCCTCTGGCACACGACATACAAGAGAACAGCGATGAGAAAGAAGGTGATGGCCAGGAGGGACACCACGGGCACCGTGGCTGATGTCCCCGATGTGGGTCCCACATTGTCTTCCAACTGCTTCTGCTTCTCCCCAGCCTCAGACCCGGCCCCGAGACTGTGGCCCACAGCGGATGTAGCGGTTTCACTGGCGCGGGTGAGCTCTTCACCCGAGGACAGTGCTCCCGCTGGCAGAGTGGGCGCCCGGGTGGACCGCACGGCAGGCGGCAGGTGCGTCGGGGGAGGGGAGCCCGGGTGCAAAGGCGCCGTTTCTGCGGGCTCAGGAGCCTGGGTGCTGGGGGGAGGCAAATGCTGCCGGGGGGCCACACTCCCAGAGTCCACGTGTCCACATGCTGGAGAAACAAGAAGTAAAGAGTCAGGGCTCTGAGAGGAGGGGCAAGGCGAAGGCGGTGGGTCAAGGAGAGCATCAAGGTAACGGGACAGTCAGGAGATGAAGGCAGAGGGGAAAGTGCGGAGGAGGAAGCAAGCCGCCCTCAACAGGGAAGCAGTGGAACAGGCATGCGCTCTGAACCGGCAGGTAGCGCGATCCGGGCTGGAACCCCGGCTCTCCCCCAAGCAGCCATGTGACCTTGTCCCTTGTGTCTAAGCCTCTCTGGGACTCATTCCTTTCAGCTACAAAGCAGGGATCATTTCAGTGCCCAGGGCCGCAGTAGCTAGGAGGGTTTAATGAAGTAACGAAGGTCTCTGGAGCCTAATGTACGTGCTGAAATGTTCGGGGATGAGGTGCGGTCACACCTGCAGCGGACTTGGAAATGCATCGGAAATTAAGGCGGACCGATGATGGACAGAAGGACGGACGGACAGACAGATGGGCATGCACTAGGGCAAATACGGTTTCCACGCCGGAACCCTGATGTTGTAAAACGTAAGCTATATTTATGTGTGCAAACTACATGAAATCCAGAAAATATAAATATATTAAAGCCAAATACCGTAGAACCGGGTGGGGGGTATCTGGATGCTCACCGCACAGTTCTTTCAAGCTTTGTGTGAATCTTTGCATTTCCATAATAAAAGTCACGGTGAGTTATGTGGAAACTAATTTGACAATAAACTATTTGTAAAAAATAAATAAATAAATAAATAACATGTTAAATAAAAAAAAAAAAGTCACGGTGAATGATGCTGGGCAGACAGGGACGGAAGGGACTTTGGCCGGCGCGAGAAATAGGAAAGTGGGATGTCCCAGGAGAGGGGTTAGTCACAGAAGACTGTGAGGGGGAGGCAGCGGCTCCTGGAGACAGTTCCCAGGGAGGAGGGGGGAGGAGGGGGAAGCTCGTACCTCTGAGATCAAAGCAGTTCACCAGTTCTTGAACCCACTGATCTTTGCTGCCCCCGCACACACTGCGGACCCGTAGCTGGAACCTGCGGAGGAAAGGCCTGGCCTCGCTCAGCTGTACCCCTTCTCCCAGCCCTTTCCTCGTTCCAGAGACGTGACCTCACCACGGAGAGCTAGTGAGGCCTTTCTCCCAGATCGGGAAAGTCCCAGGTGTGGGAAAGAGAAACCAAGGTGGAGGCAGACAGGGGGCTGGCGCTCCCAGGCGGCCCAGTTTGAGCAGCGGGGGTCCCGGAGCCCCCGCCCCGGAGGCGCTGCCCTCCCCGCGGTCGGGGTGATTGATCACCGGACGTAGGAGCTGCAGCGCTGATAGCCTTTCAGGTGCCTTCGGAGATGGGCCAGTAGCTGGCGCTCCGGAGGGGAGCCGGAGGAGATTGTCTGCCCGCAGTAACAGCTCCCGGCGACGCTGCCCTCGTTGCCATCGCCTGGGCGCGACAGGACAGAGGGAGTCGGCGCAGGTCACAGGTTCGGGGCTCCCCGGCTGTTACCGAAGCTCCAACCCACCGCCCCGTTGCAGCCTCTTCGCTGCGTCCCGGGATCCGACCGCCGGGCACAACCCGCGACACGCCGCCAAGCTCGTCCTTGCTCGTCCCCTGCCCCCCTGTCCCCCAGCCCCGCCGGCCCCCAGCCCCCCTGTCCCCCAGCCCCCCTGTCCCCCAGCCCCGCCGGCCCCCAGCCCCCCTGTCCCCCAGCCCCGCCGGCCCCCAGCCCCCCAGTCCCCCAGCCNCCCGCAGTAACAGCTCCCGGCGACGCTGCCCTCGTTGCCATCGCCTGGGCGCGACAGGACAGAGGGAGTCGGCGCAGGTCACAGGTTCGGGGCTCCCCGGCTGTTACCGAAGCTCCAACCCACCGCCCCGTTGCAGCCTCTTCGCTGCGTCCCGGGATCCGACCGCTGGGCACAACCCGCGACACGCCGCCAAGCTCGTCCTTGCTCGTCCCCTGCCCCCCAGTCCCCCAGCCCCGCCGGCCCCCAGCCCCGCCGGCCCCCAGCCCCCCTGTCCCCCAGCCCCGCCGGCCCCCAGCCCCGCCGGCCCCCAGCCCGTCCCCCGCCCCGGCTGCCTGGGGACCCGGGCTCCGCACTTCCTCACCACGACCCCGCGCGGCCCTCGGCGCGCCCTGACCCCCACCCTCCTCCCATCCCGTTCCCGGACTCGGGGCGGGAGGGGGAGGTCTGGGCGCCAGCCCCGCCCGGGACGAACCTGGCCGCGGCAGCAGCTCCAGCAGGAGGAGGAGCGCGAGGAACCGGAGTCCCCAGCGTCGCCTCATGTCGGGGGCCGGGCGGGACCGGAGCGCGGCGTCTAGTCGCTTCCTCCCGGGCCCGTGGGCGCCGAGTCCAGGCCGGCGAGCTGCGCGAGCTGGGGGCGCCCTCCTGCCGCGACCGCACCGTCCGAACCGACAGCGCGGTCGGTACTGCGAGACCGCGCGGACGCCTCCTCCCGCCGGGGAAACCCCGGAGGCGGGGCCCCGCGCCCCGCGCCCCCGCGCCCCGCGCCCCCTGCGCTCGCCCGGAACGCCTGCAGGAAGCGGGCAGGCCGGCCGCGCGGCGGGGCGGGGGGCCCCACGGGCCCGCTCCCTCCGGCTCCGGGCTGCCCTCCGCCCTCCCCAGCTCAGGCCTCGGGCGCCAGGACTCCAACTGCCGGGTCGGACTCCGGGACTTTCGCTTCCCGGCTGCGGGGTCACATGCCGGCGATGCGGGCCGGGAAAGTCCGAGCGGGGGCCGCACACCCGCCCGGCCCCTCGGCGCGCGCTCCCGGCGCGCGGGGCGTGGCCCCCCAGGGGCGGGCTCGGGCGGCCCCGACGTCACGCCCGCGCCCCCCACCCCGCCCCCGCCAGCCCCGAGGTATTTACCTTCGAAAAGTGGTGGCGGCTGCAGGTACCGGAGTCGCGGAGCGGCCGGGAGGGGCTGGGTCCGCTGGGGCTCGCCGCGCAGCCGAGCCAAGCCGGAGGGGTCCCCGGGCTCCGCTTCCCTCCTGCCACACCCGGCAGACGGACCCCAAAGTCTTTCCTCCTCCCCAAACCCTCCCCTCCAAACCTACTCACAGCTCGGACCCCAGCACTGAGGGGTGTTGCCCCAAATACCGTCTCACTCCCGACTACTCACGTGAAGCCCTCCTCGCCCGCTTCCCAGCCCCCATTCCCACCCTGAACCCCCACCCTGAGCCCTGAAAACGAGCCCCACGCCCCCACACTCGTCCAATCCAGAGGCCCCGCCGGACGCGACCGTCACACCCGCGCCCTCCCCACCCTGTGCCCCGACCCCACACTCCCGGCTCCCCGCGCCCTCACCTCACATCCCCTCCTCCGCTCGGTCTGGGCCCAGGCCCCTGTGCCCCTGAAGACATGGAGTTCGTGTCCGGATACCGCGATGAGTTCCTCGACTTCGCCGCCCTCCTGTTTGGCTGGTTCCGAAAGTTCGCGGCGGAGCGGGGGGCCGCGGGGGCCAGCCTCGAGGCCCGCGGGCGCCAGCTGGAGGCTCAGATCCGGAGGCTGCCCCAGGACCCTGCCCTGTGGGTGCTGCATGTGTTGCCCAATCGTAGTGTGGGCATCAGCCTGGGGCAAGGGGCCGAGCCAGGCCCTGGACTGGGCCTGGGGGCCGCCCGGTTCCTGGGAGATGAGCCCCCGCTCCACCTGCGAGACCTAAGCCCCTACGTCAGTTTTGTCAGCCTGGAGGAGGAGGCGGAGGAAGCGGGGGAGGGGGAGGAAGAGAATGGAGAGCCGGAGGGTGCAGGCCGGGAGAAGGTAGATCCACAGGAAGATGGGGAGCCCGCCCCCACCAGCAGGGAGTCCCCCCAGGAAGCAAACCCTCCAGGGGGACCAGAGAAGGCCCAGCCGGAGGCAGCAGCTGGTGGAGGTGGCCGCGATGGCTGCCGAGAAGACAAGGCAGAGGACGAAGGGGTTCCCGAGAGGAGGAAGGGGCGGCGAAGTGGTAAGACCCCCCCCCACCCCGGGGGCTGGCGCTGCCCCGCCCCCTCTCTGCATTCCCCGCCTTGGGAAGACCCCCTCTACCTCTCAAAGCCCCGCCAGAAGTCACTGACTGTGGCCTGCAGGCCAGTGTGGCCTGAAAAGGTGTTTTCATTGACCCACAATGGGTTTTTTTGTTTGTTTATTTTTTTTAAATTTGAGCCAACATTTATACAGTCTCAAGAAACACTTAAAGTTGCAGCAGCAGGCCCGCATTTCTGCCTGGCTGCTCCGTGCATCGGCTGGCCCAGCCGGCGGACGGGACGGGGCACATCCCCTCTCTCCCCATTCCCCCCTGTTCGTTTCGTGGGCTTGTGCAGCACCTGTAGGCCTGATGTTCACACCCCTGACTTTGCCCTTCTTCCCCAGAGGCTGCCCCCCTGCACCTTTCCTGCCTCCTACTGGTAACAGATGAACACGGCACCATCTTGGGCATTGACCTGCTAATGGACAGAGCCCAGGGCGGTGCAGGCAAGGGCTCAGGGCCGGAGAAACTGGCCCCTCGGGCCTACGGTCTCCTCTGCCACAGCATGGCCTGCCCCATGGGCTCCGGAGACCCTCGAAAGCCCCGACAGCTGACTGTGGGGGACGCCCAGCTGCATCGGTACAGAAATCCAGTATCTGAGGTTGGGGTATGGGGGGGGAAGCTGAGGTCTGGACTCCTGAGCACCCCTAGCCTGACGCCGTCTCCACCGTCACTCAGAGAGCTGGAGAGTCTGGTCCCAAGGCTGGGGGTGAAGCTGGCCAAGACGCCAATGCGGACCTGGGGTCCCCGGCCAGGCTTCACATTTGCCTCCCTTCGGGCACGAACCTGCCACGTCTGTCACAGACACAGCTTTGAAGTGAAGCTGACGCCGTGGTGAGCAGCCAGATGGATGGGGGGAGGGGGAGGGAGACCCCAGCTGGCCGGTGGGGGGCCTAGCACACAGAATGAGGGGCAGGGAAGTAACAGGAGGGAAGAAGCAAGCTGTTTCCGCCGAGTACACAGAAAAACAGACCACAGCAGACAAGGGCCTCCGGAGATTAACGTGGGCGCCCACCGCCCCCTGTGACCCCAGCCCCCAGTGCAGTGCCGTCTTGTACTGCGGGGAGTCTTGTCTCCGGGCCGACTGGCGCCGATGCCCGGACGACGTGAGCCACCGGTTTTGGTGCCCGAGGCTTGCGGCCTTCATGGATCGAACCGGGGAGCTGGCAGCTCTGCCCTTCACCTACACCGCAGGTGCCACGAGGAGACCGCGACGGGGCGGGAGGAACTGGGACCCCGTGTCTGGGGCGCGGGCTGGGTGCCCGCGTACGGGGTCCTGGGGCTGAGGATTGTGCGCCTGGGTCCCTGAGAGCTCAGGGGATTCGGGAATATGGGGTGCAAGCACGTGCTACCCCCAGCCCCACCCCTAACTTTACGTTTTAGACCCTCCGTTTCCTCATCTGTAAAATAAGTACATTAACAAACATTCACACCCAGGGGACCGTTGAGGCTTCTGTGGTCTTGGCAGCAGCTACACTGTAGACACTTGGAACCAGATTCCGAGCCAGGGGCCTTGGGAGAAACTGAGCAGAGCCCCAGCCTGGGGTCCCGGCCACCAGGCCCTCAACCCCTCCCCTCCTCCTTCTGCAGAGGTGACAAGTGAAACCTTCAACAAGGAGGCCTTCCTGGCCTCAAGGGGCCTCACTCGTGGCTACTGGACCCAGCTCAGCATGCTGCTCCCAGGCCCTGGCACCCCCAGGCACCCCCGGGGCAGCACGCCATCCCTCAGCCTTCTTCTCAGTGGTTTGTGGGGTTCTCCTCAGGCACGGGCCCCTCAGCCTAGAGGGAAGGACGGGAGAGAAGCAAGTTGTCCGGATCCTAGATAGCGCCCACCGCGGAAGCGCCAAACTCCGCCACCACCTCCAGGGCTACCTTGATCAACCCCCCACCCCCACCCCCCACCTCAGAGAAGTCAGCCCCGCTCTCCCCTTCCAGAAGCCCCTTGCTTAGGCCACCCTCCATTGCTCTCGGCTCCGGGGAATACAGCTCCTTTGGAAGAAAGCAGGGGGGGAGAGGGCCAGATGGGGGTCTCTCTGACACCAGGATCTTCTTCTTTCTTCCTTTCAGGAGATCCCTACCAGCTTCTCCAGGGGGATGGGCCTGCCCTGATGCCTCCTGTGCCCCCAGATCCACCCAGGGGCCTCTTTGGTGAGCTGCAGGGGCCCTGAGGGAGCGCCCCGAGGTAGAGACAGACTCGAGGGCCAGCAGTCTGGGTGGCGGAGAAAAGGGGGGCTGTGATACCGGAGAGGCTGGGGTCCAGGCCTGGGCCAAGCCCCCCAGTCACCCACTCTCCCCAGGCTCCTGGCAGGATTACTATACGTGGAGGGGCCTCGGCTTGGACTCCCCCATGGCCGTGCTTCTCACCTACCCGCTGACCGTGTACTACGTCATCACCCACCTGGTGCCCCAGTCCTGTAAGGAGAGCCGAGCAGCGCAGGGGGCAGGGGGCAGGGGGCAGGGGGCTGGAGGGAGACGAGGGGAAGGGAGACCATCTTCTTAAGCGGCCAGCCTCTCCCCCAGTCCCTGAGCTCAACATCCAGAACAAGCAGTCACTGAAAATCCACGTGGTGGAGGCGGGGAAGGAGTTCGACCTGGTCATGGTGTTTTGGGTAAGTCCCCCCAGGAGGGCGGGGGGGGGGGGGGGGCATGGAGGCGGACACGAGGTGAGGCCCTGGTCTGTCTGCTCTGCCTTTCAGGAGCTCTCCGTCTTGCTCCCCCACGTGGCCCTAGAGCTGCAGTTTGTGGGCGACGGCCTGCCCCCCGAGAGTGACCAGCAGCATTTTACCCTGCAGAGGGTGAGGGCTGGGGAGTGGGGCGGCTGCTCTCCTCTCCCCTGTCCTGCCTACCGCGGCCTCCCCGTACCCTAACTTCTAGCCCTTTCTGCACTCGGCTTCTGGCTCCCTAGGATGGCCCAGAAGTGTCCGTCCGTTCTGGTTCCGGCGTGTCCGGGCGGCTCAGCTCCGGGACCAAGGAGAAGGGAAGCCGCAGGGATTTGCAGATCAAGGTGTCTGCACGGCCTTACCACCTGCTCCAGGGGCCCAAACCTGACCTGGTGATCGGTAAGAGCCTGGGGCAGGCGTGTGGGGAGGTGCGGGAAGGCCACGGGCGACAGCATGTGCCCGCCCTCTCTCGGTCTGCAGGGTTTAACTCCGGCTTCGGTCTCAAGGACACCTGGCTGAGCTCGCTGCCCCGGCTCCAGGTGGGGGATGGGGCAAAAGGCACCTGCTCTCCCCTCCTGCCCCGACCACCCTCCTTTTCCGAAAGCCTCTTCTTCCCACCATCCGCTCCCGAGATGGGGCGCGCCCAGGGTCCTCCCGGCCCTGTCTGTCTGTCTGCGCCCCTGGCTCCTGGGGAGGGTCTGGGGGGGCGGCGCAGTTCGAGAGTCTGAGGCCCGCGCCCCCCGCCGCGCCCCCGCCAGTCCCTCCGAGTGCCGGCCTTCTTCACCGAGAGCAGCGAGTACGGTTGTGTGATGGACGACCAGACCATGGCGGTGGCCACGGGAGGGGGCACCAGCCCCCCGCGGCCCAACCCCTTCCGCTCCCCCTTTCGCCTGCGAGCGGCCGACAACTGCATGCCCTGGTAAGGACCCGCGACCCGCGCGGGGTCCTCTGCCCTCCTGGGACCTCCCTGCCCCGCCCCGCCCCCGCGGGCCTCCCCCGCGCGCACCTGCAGCCCCCAGGGGGCGTGCCCCTTCTGGCCGCCCGCCCCGCCCCCGACGGCGCCGCGCCCCTTCTGGCCGCCCCGCCCCCGCGGGCCTCCCCCGCGCGCACCTGCAGCCCCCAGGGGGCATGCCCCTTCTGGCCGCCCGCCCCGCCCCCGACGACGCCCCGCCCCTTCTGGCCGCCCCGCCCCGCGGGCCTCCCCCGCGCGCACCTGCAGCCCCCAGGGGGCGTGCCCCTTCTGGCCGCCCGCCCCGCCCCCGACGGCGCCCCGCCCCTTCTGGCCGCCCCGCCCCCGCGGGCCTCCCCCGCGCGCACCTGCAGCCCCCAGGGGGCATGCCCCTTCTGGCCGCCCGCCCCGCCCCCGACGACGCCCCGCCCCTTCTGGCCGCCCCGCCCCGCGGGCCTCCCCCGCGCGCACCTGCAGCCCCCAGGGGGCGTGCCCCTTCTGGCCGCCCGCCCCGCCCCCGACGGCGCCCCGCCCCTTCTGGCCGCCCCGCCCCGCGGACCTCCCCCGCGCGCACCTGCAGTCCCCAGGGGGCGTGCCCCTTCTGGCCGCCCGCCCCGCCCCGACGGCGCCCCGCCCCTTCTGGCCGCCCCGCCCCTGACGGCGCCCCGCCCCCTCAGGTACTGCAACGCCTTCATCTTCCACCTGGTCTACAAGCCTCCGCAGGGGAGCGGGGCCCGCCCGGCGCCCGGGCCCGCGCCCCTGGCCCCGACCCCCGCCGCGCCCCCCGCCCCGGCGCGCAGGCGCCGAGGGGAGAAGAAACCTGGGCGGGGGGCGCGGCGGCGCCGGTGAGCGCCCAGGTGTGGCCGCCCGGGCCCCGCCCCCAGCGCGCCCCCGAAAGCCGGGCGGAGCCGCGCGCGGCCGGGGGCAGGCGGGCTGGCTGGACGCGCGCAGGTAAATACAGGTGCTCGTTTGAAACCGCTGAGTCACGTACTTTCCGGTTATACGTCCTGAACCGGCTCATTAAACGCGGAGGAGAGGACAGGATTTCGGGATGACTCGTTTTCCTCCAGCTTCTTTCGCCGCCTCCGCTCCCTCCCCCGCGGCCCCGACCTCCTTGGTAGCCCCAGACTCCTGGTGTGGGTGCGGGGGTGTGGGGGTGACTCATTTCCCGGCCCCTGTCACCCTGGGACCCGGCCGCAGGCAACACCCGGAGCGGAAGGTGGGTTCTCACTCGCGGGCGGGGCAGAAGGCCCGAGGGGTGCACAGACCCCGGGGTTCAGAGGCAGCGAAGGGCCCCAAGCCACCCAACCCTGGGCCCGCCTCGTCCGGTCTCCAGCCTCTCCTCCTGTTCCTCACATCCGATGAAGAACCCGCTTCTGAGTCAGCCTGTCACTCAAGGTCACCTGTGCATCCCAGCCCCCCCCAACCCCCCCTCGACCAGGCAGAGAATTCCCTCCACACCCCTCGTCCCCTGCTTAAAATCCCTTCCCTCCACTCTTAAAAGCCCCTGGAGTGTGGGCTGGGCTTAGTCCTCCGTGGCTGGACGAGAAAGGGAAAAGGAACAGAGGAACTTGGCAGACACCGCTTTCCCCAAGTGCGTCAGTCATCTTGAGGTCATGTGCGCCCCGGCCTGTTGCAATGGGGCTGCTTCCCCTCAGTGTTCTTCCCAAGCTCCCGAAGCTTCGCCTCATCCCGAGAGAGCATCGGACAAATCCCAGCTGTGGGAAAGTCTGCGGGACACCCCACCCCTCCTGCCCGAGCGCCAAAGTCACGAGGGGCAAGGAAAAGCCAAGACACTGGGACAGGCTGGGAGAGACGCAGGACACACGATGTCTAAACGTGACGTGATATCCTGGGTTGGATCCTGGGGCAGAGGAAGGACTCCAAATAAAATCTATATATTTAGCTAACCGTATTGTATCATCGTTAATGTCTCAGTTTGATAAACACGCTTTGGTCGTTTAAGACGATAAAGGAAGATGGCTGAAGGGAATACAGGAAGATTCTGTCTTCGTAACTCACCTATAAATCAAAATAGTTTCATTTTTTACAATGCTTTATTTATTTTGAGAGAGAGAGGGAGGGAGTAAGGGAGGGGAGCAGAGAGACAGTGAAACAGAGAGAGACAGAGAATTCCAAGCAGGCTCCGCACCGTCGGAGAGAGCCTGATTCAGGGCTCAAACTCACAAACCGTGAGATCCTGACCTGAGCCGAAACCAAGAGTCGGACGCTTAACCACCTGAGCCACCCATGTGCCCCTAAAATCATTTCAGAGTAAAAAGTTAAAAACTAAAAGTTCAGGCTCCTTAGTATGGCTTATAGGCTCTACTTTCTTCTCATTCTCTTTTATTATAAATATTGTACTAAGTGTCCAAATACGCATAAAAATATTCCTGCTCTCGGCATCATGAATCTCTATGTATCCATCACTCAGCTTCAACAATTATCAACATATTTCCCTGTTTTATTATTACTTCTTGTGAATCTGAGATATAATAAGAGCTTCTAAAGCCCTTGGAATTTCCTTAGTGAAAGGGATGATTAGGAAAGTGTCTTGGATTATTCACAACAAGCTCCTTCCTACCACACCTGAGTTCATGCTAATGAGGTGACGCTAGGTGTGCCCCTGTTTAACTTCATGATGGGGGCTGGTTGCTAATAACCGTGTGATTAAGGTGCTGGGAATTTCACCCCACCTCTCAACCCCCAGTGAGTGGAGAGGGGGCTGAAAACTGAGTTAATCACCAGGATTTAATCAATTGTGCCTACCTAATAGAACCGCCCCAAAGGGGCGCCTGGGTGGCTCAGTCGGTTAAACATCCAACTTCAGCTCAGGGCATGATCTCACGGTTCATGGGTTCGAGCCCCGCGTCGGGCTCTGTGCTGACAGCTCAGAGCCTGGAGCCTGTTTCAGATTCTATGTCTCCCTCTCTCTCTGCCCCTCCCCTGCTCATGCTGTCTCTCTCTCTCTCTCTCTCAGAAATAAGTAAAAGGTAAAAATAAAATAAAATAAAATAAAAAGAACCGCCACAACCCCTAACCAGAGGCTCCCGGGGGCTCAGTCGGTTGACTGTCCAACTCTTGATTTTGGCCTCGATCATGTTCCCAGGGTTGTGGAATGCAGCCTCGTGAAGGGCTCCATGCTGAGTGTGGAACTTGCTTGGGACTCTCTCTCTCTCTCTCCATCACTCTCTCCCTGTGTCCCTCCCATCCCCCCAAAAACCCTAAACAGTGGGGTTCAGAGAGCTTCTGTGTTGGTGAACACACACAGGCAGGTACTGAGGGCCCCCCACCCCACCACCCACACGCTGTTCTCTTCACCTCTTCCATTTGGCTGTCCCTGAGTGGTATCTATGCACTAAATCAGTGCTAGGAAACTGTCTTCCTGACTTCCACGAGCCGTTTTCGTAAATTATTGAACCTGAGGAGGGGATCGCAGGACCCTCAATTTATAATCAGTTGGCAGAATGACAGGAGGCCCGGGACCTATGACCGGGATCGGGGTGGGGGCAGTCTTGGGGGATCAAACCCACTCTGGGTAACTTAGTATCAGATTCGATTAAAGAGGAAAACACCCTGTGTGCAAAGCCGGGTGCAAATTCCTCACCCACCAGGCAGGAATCTGGGTCCTTGGAGAATTGGTTGTTGTGGTGAAAACACACATACATACATACACACACACATACACACACACACACACAACTCCGGTGTCAGAAGTGGGTGTAGTAAGAACAGCTAACAGTAAGTGTCAGAAGTGGCTACCCTGGCCTTGACTCAAAGACGTGGTTTGGGAAGAAAAAGGATGAAGCGTCAGCATGAGGAAGCTTGGATCCGGGGGGGGGGGGGCACGTGGTCACTCATGATGTGAACCCAGCCGCCCTCTGTTGTCACCAAAGGTGACCTTACAGTGGTGTTTAGATTTGGCTCCAGGGAGCTGGGTCGCTGGCTGCTTAAGGAAGTGCAAACTAATGAGGAAAAAACAAAGTGAAGTACACAATGTCCCGGTTTGCATCTCTAATGGCTATAACGAAATTTTAAAGAGTTCTGGAAAAAAAATTTCTAATAAAAAATTTACTTTATTTTAAAAAATTTTTAATGTGTTATTTATTTCTGAGAGAGAGAGAGAGAGACAGCATGAGCAGGGGAGGGGCAGAGAGAGAGGGAGACATAGAATCTGAAACAGGCTCCAGGCTCTGAGCTGTCAGCACAGAGCCCGACGCGGGGCTCGAACCCACCAACCGTGAGATCATGACCTGAGCCGAAGTCAGACGTTTAACCGACTGAGCCACCCAGGTGCCCCTCTAATAAAAAAAATTAAAAGAAATGGGAAGAGTTCCAGTTTGGACTTTGATCCCAGACTAAGCTCGGATTTTGGTCAGTCTAAGCTTTGGCCATTAGCCTCGGACCATGTGGGCTGGGACAGCATAAAGTACCCCTGAGTCCTCTGGTCACCAAGAAGGCCATCAAGTGGGGGAGGGCAAAACCATAAAATGGGGGTGAGGGTGCGGGGGGGGGATGGTGTGAAAGACTTGCCTCACTTCGTAGATGGGTAACATCAGCTTCCCAAAGAACCTTCTTAAGAAGAGATGGTGAGAGAGATGAGGGGCACTATCGGTTTTGTTTTGTTTAATTTTTTTTTTTTTTACAAATAGTTTATTGTCAAATTAGTTTCCACATAACACTCAGTGCTCATCTGTTTTGTTTAATTTTTTAATGTTTATTTATCTTTGAGCAAGAGAGACAGAGTGCGAGTGGGGGGAGGGCCAGAGGGAGGGAGACACAGAATCCGAAGCAGCTCCAGGCTCCCAGCTGTCAGCCCAGAGCCCGTCGCAGGCCCCAAACTCTCATCAGGCCTGAGACTGAGTCAGACGCTTAACCGGCTGAGCCGCCCAGGCGCCCCCTGTCTTTGGTTTTAAGGGCTGCAGGCTAGCAGAGCATTTGGGGTTCGGGACCCATCAGCTCCCTATGAAACAACCACAGGTGTGTGTACGGAATCCAGACACAGGAAGTCACTCCCGGGGAATAATCATGAAGCCATCCCTCGGCCACCCAGAGTCACCGCAGCAGCATACACTCAGGAATGGTTGAAAAGCCCCTATTATGGAATAACCTAAGACCCTCCCTCTCACCCCTATTACTCCAAGATTTTAAGAAGCATGGTGCCAGGAGCTGGGACACAGACAAAACATACAATCGCACACCCCCAGCTTTTGCCCAGAGTGTTTGAAGGCACGCCCCAGACATCAGTCATCTTACTCACATGCATCTGTACCTAATCATAAGAGCTTTTTTTTTGTATTTTTTAACGTATTTATTTTTGAGACAGAGAGAGACAGAGCACACTGGGGAGGGGTGGCTCAGTGAGTTAAGCATCAGACTTGGGCTCAGAGACAGAGCAGAGCTGGGGAGGGAGACACAGAATCCGAAGCAGCTCCAGGCTCCGAGCTGTCAGCACAGAGCCCGACGCGGGGCTCGAACCCACGGACTGCGAGATCATGACCCGAGCTGAAGTCGGACGCCTAACCCACTGAGCCACCCAGGCGACCCATAGGGCTTTTTATTTTTTTTTATTTTTTTTTTAATGTTTTATTTATTTCTAGGAGAGAGAGAGAGAGAGACAGCATGAGCAGGGGAGGGCCAGAGAGAGAGGGAGACATAGAATCTGAAACAGGCTCCAGGCTCTGAGCTGGCAGTCAGCACAGAGCCCGACGCGGGGCTCGAACCCACGAACCGCGAGATCATGACCTAAGCGAAAGTCGGACGCTTAACCGACTAAGCCCATAGGGCTTTTTAAAAATGTAACCACCAGGTCACTATCATACCCAACAAAATTAGCAATTACTCTTTAATATTTTATAATACCCAGTTCACATTCAGAGTTCTTCGATGATCTCCAAGATGCCTTTTACAGCTGGTTTGTTCCAGTCAAGAAATAAACAAGGTCCCGGGGCGCCTGGGTGGCTCAGTCGGTTAAGTCTCCAACTTCAGCTCAAGTCATGATCTCATGGCTCACTTGTGAGTGTAACCCCCACAGGGGCCCTGTG